CTGAAGATACATTGCCATGAGCTCTGGGGGAGGGAGATCCATCCTGGTGGTGCCTTTGCTTGCAGGCTCCACTGCCACAGCTCTAATTGGCCAGGAATCCTGATTCAAAAGGCCTGGGGCTCCTAGATGATGCACTACTGCAGCAGCAGTGACAGTCAGAGCCCTGGGCCCTTTAAATTGCTGTGGGAGCCCTGGGCAGTGCTGAAGGGCTGGTGTGGAGAAGCACACCCCAGCACTACCCCTTCTACTCAACTCCCTCCCCTTCCAGGAGTGTGGAACCACTCCTCTACACCTGGCCCAGGGGACCAGCAAGTCTGTCAGCCCTCCTTCCAGTACACCCCCCACCCCAAATCTCCAGCCCTGGGCCCTCTCCTATGCCCCAAACCCTTCATCCCTAGCCCCACCCCAGAGCCCACATCCCCAGGCAGAGCCCTTGTCCCTTATTGCACCCCAATTCCTTGCCTCAACCCACAGCCCTCTCCCACACTCTGAATCCCACATAGTTTGCCCAGACCCAGAGGTTAGGAGGCCCCATAAAATGTAATAGCTCCAGCCCCCCAGAAGAGTTAATCCGATCCTGGATGTTGCCAAACACAATGGATAAAGGACCTACTAGCACTGTCCTTTAAAAGCGATCTCCTTTAGCATACGTAGCCTGTATTTTTTGGAGCTGAAAAAACAGAGTGAATATGTGTGTTTACACGATCATTGTGTTCCAGCTACATCAAAAGGATGCCCCACCTAAAGTGCTGGGCAAAACTTCAATATAATGTGGATGCGTACCCTTTCTAGTCATACATGTGCCACTTTTGTGGATAAGCACAAAAATATCCATAAGGTGCTAGAATTATTAAATAAAGATCATGACAAAATCCCATATGTTTTATGAGTATAAAAAGCCATTCCTACCTTTATTTCAGTTTTATTTCAAAAACTGCACATACTTGCCAAATCCCCACCTACATGTCCCTTCACAGCCACATAATGTCAATATTTTCCTTTTTTCCAAGCCAGCTGTTCACAGAACAAACTAATGCTCATAACCATATGGTTGCAGTGCAAAGAAACCTGCATAAATACATTAGGAACTGAGTCCTTTGTGAATTATAACTAATTTTAATCTAAGTACAAACAGAGAGCAAGAGCCCCTTATGTTTTAAAATCCTCATGTGATCTATTTCACAGTCTTTGCACCTGTTAAATTCCATAAGTGAAAACAAAAAAATCGTATAATCAGTATAACCTTCATTAACTTATGTAAGACCATCATCCTTAACTCAGACTGGTTATAGGGGCACATAGACAGGTCATAGTCATTTGCACAACTGGTGAACTGTAACCAAGATTTTTAGCCTTAAATCTGAATGCCTTCACTTTTGCTATGTAGCTCTTCATGTTGTTTTAAGCATCATTTTGTCCCTCAGTTTCATTAGATTTCTTTTTGGCTTAGAAGTGAACCAAAGAAAGTAAATGAAACTGACATAGATTAAACCAAAGAGGCCAAAATGTTCAAATCTTGGCTCTCTCAGATCATGCCTATCCATGAGCATGCAAATGTAGGCCTTGGACTCCATGTTAAAGAATACACGTTTGAAAATTCAGCTCATGGCATGGATTAAAAATTATAGATTCCTTCTTATTAAAATGGAAATATATTCAGGTAGGATTTATGGATTATTGTAGATACATTTTCTCATAATTCGTTGTAATAGAATATGCTTCTGGAGCAGAAAGGCATTCTCTCAGGGATGCAAACTGCCACCCATGTTCCCTTAAAACTCCTACTGAAAGCCATAAATGTTCTACACATGCCATAATGTGGCTCACATTGCCAAGTGGCAATGAATGTGAATAAAATTGTCCTGAATATTAAGAAAGCATTCATGATTCACAGTGCTTCAGTCCGATGTGTTTTCTTTAGTATACTTATCTATATTGCAGACGTACCTACCCTTATTTTCTGTGGCTGCCACTGCTAATCCAAAGGATAATGGACTCTCTCAAATCAAACCTCATTGCTGCTGTGATACCACTTCCCTCACACTCTCCATATCAGTTTCTCTGCTCTGGCATTCCAGGACTGACAAGGCATAGAGTTGACTTCTGAAGCAAAATTAAAAGGAAGGAAGGTGACAATTTCACAATCACTTGCATTTAAAGTAAAGGTCAAACGGAGATCTGGTTGAAAGGAGTTTTGGAACTGCTAGCTTTAATGGACAAACTGATGTTTCTGTGCCTGTAAACGTGAGCTGAGATTGAGATAGTAACTCAATCTAGGCAAAAATGGGAATAGAGAAATTGGAGATGGAAAGAAGAAGAGACTGAGGAAGGATTTAAGCCTAAATTAAATCCTGGAATTAAGCTCCTCTCCCCCTTTTTTGTGTGTGTGTATTTAGAAACTGAGCTCTGGACTCCAACAACTTATCAAAAACCACAATATAAAAGAAATCCACAACCAGTCTTCAGCTCCTCCCACATGCTATTCTCTTTCCCAAGAACTGCTGTGGCTTTCAATAACCATACCCCCAACAGGCAGTGTTTAAAAAAGTAAAGAGAAAAAACGTGAAATGACTAATTTTTAAATGAGCAATAGAATTTGGACAGATACTGGTGAATCGAAGTGAAAAGCGTTAACTATCATTGCTGCTACAATAATGCTGTTACTTTTTGCTCTTTTGACAAGTTGGGGTTTCCAGTTGCACTTAAACTACAGTGACTTTGCAATTCCATATTTTGGAACAACTCCCTGTACAGCAGAATGGTATGACTTAGGGATTCAGCAACTCATACTCAATGCCCTCAGCAAAATATATTTTTTCTTTGCTCATTTTCTGCCCTTCAGTAGTCCTGAGGTTTGGTGGCTATTGAATCACATGAGAAGGAAATTCTACCCAGGAAACACTCAAAATGTAAATTTAACAACATTCCTGGCATTTAAGCCAACACAAACCTATAAAATTTGTCTTTCCTTTGCAGCGCCAATGCAGACTTTATAAGATTAGTATCTAAAGACCGCTCCAGAAAGTGCCAGAAAGTGTTTAATTTATATGTTTTTAATGTTCATAAACATGGAAAAGATCGAATTTGAATTTGACAGTAGAACTAATGCTCAGCACAAATAGCAAAATATGGCAAGATATGCCCTGAACATACATGTCTTCTAAAATCTTCTCTACATAAAAAATTCAGTGATGTACAGTGCATCTGTTTAACTCAGATAATGATGGGCTTGCCCTAAACAGCACACTCAGTTTTCAGCAAATGCCTTGTAAACCCCATCTTTAAAAAAAACAAATAAACCTCACCTCTAACTACTATACTTTTTTTTTTTGGGGGGGGGGCCTTTCAACTTATAGTGACTACAGAGGGAAACACTGAAACTGATTAAACAAATACAAAGTGCTATTAAATGCACAAATTAAAGAACTTTAATTTCTCTAATAGAAAACTTGGCTGTTACTCCTAACAATAGGGTCAAATAAATGCCAAACAACGGTCTCTCCCTTATGAAAACAATTTCACTTTTCTTTTTAAATGTATCCATACATGAAATTCTAGAGACACAAAATCATTCTGGTAGTCAATAGAGAGCTGCTGCACAACCTGAACAAGGTATACCTCCTTTTATATGTTCCCTGACATCAGTTCAATTTTTTCTATTCTTAATTTAACTTTAATTTAGCATCATTGCCCAGGGATTGGTTATTGGGAAACACCAAACAATTTGACAGAGTAGGCAGCCAATTTTAACTTTTTCAGCAAAAATGGGTCATGCACTAGATTTTGTGCTCTGAAAAGTCCCATACATGGGCTTTAGGTTGCTAATGAAACTGTGCTTCTTCTGGTAATGTATCATTGTAGTGATCTCCAACATATTGTATTACAAAGGTTATACACAAAAATATCACCATCATAGCCTGGGAACTCATTAAGAAGTAATGCTGAATTTTCATAAGCACCAGCTTCTGGGTGCATATAGTGAAGAGCATGCGATCTTGTTACAGATCATAACAACTGAACTCTACTTATGATTCACAATGGACATGTTAGGGTCACACATCTTACTATGGGGATGGCATGGAGGCTAATGGCTCTGGTTCACTTACTATTTACCATTGAAGAGTACTGT